GGGAAACCAGGAGCTTGGAACTAGAACTAGAACTATAACTATGTAGAGTATATGCTTGGAGCTAGAACTAAAACTAGAACTGTACAAACTAAAAATTTGGAACCAGAACTACAACTAAGACTAAGCAAATTAAAGGCTTAGAACTAGAACTAAAACTAGAACTATTTGAAAAGTAAGAACTAGAACAACACTATTATTGCTGTTATTATTATTATGAGAGTGAGAAAGGAATATTATTATTATTATTATTATTATTATTATTATTATTATTATTATTATTATTATTATTATTATTATTATTATTATTATTATTATTATTATTGTTATTATTATATGAAAGTGAGAAGGAATATTATTATTATTTTTATTTTTATTTATTATTATTATTATTATTATTATTAAGATTATTGTTATTATTATTTTTATTATTATTGTTATTATTATTATGAGAGTGAGAAAGGAATATTATTATTATTATTATTTTTATTTATTTATTATTATTATTATTATTATTATTATGATTATTATTATTATTGTTTATATTTTGATGAGAGTGAAAAAGGAATATTATTATTATTATTACTATTATTATTTTATTATTGTTATTATTATTTGTGACCATAATTGACAAAAGGTACCTTATGGTGGAATTAAAATTTCATCATTATAATGGAAAATATCAACCTGTGAGTGCTTTGTTGGGCAATCATTGTTTCTAAAAGTTTTATAGTAACTTTTTGTATCCTGTGGAGTAATTTTATGATAAATGGAGCTCAGGAAGGTAGATTTTTTGGGTTTAATGACAAATTTCACTACCCGCCATAAGGTACCTTTTGTCTATTATGGTCACATTTTATTATTATTATTATTATTATTATTATTATTATTATTTTTATTTATTATTATTATTATCATTATTATTGTTATTATTATTAAGAGAGTGCGAAAGGAATATTATTAGTATTATTATTATTTTTATTATTATTGTTATTATTATTATTGTTATTGTTATTTTTATGAGAGTGAGAAAGAACTATTTTTATTATTATTATTGTTTAGTGTTGTTCTAGTTCTTTGGAACTAGAACTAAAAAGTCATTTAATTTCATTTTTTTTAGCTAGTTTTAGTTCCTAGAACTAAAACAATAACTATACTGACGTTTTTCTAGCTATAGAACTATAACTAGAACTAGAACTAATAGCTAACTCTTCTTTCAACTATAACTAGAACTAGAACTATTTGTAAATTAATGTTGGTACTAGAACTAGAACTACAACTATTATTTTTATGGAACTAATGCTAGAACTACATGCTATTGACTACATAAAATGTTGCCAACTAGCTTGATTAGAGCTTATGTCATTGAAAAAAGTGTCAAAATGAAGGAAAGAGAACTAAACTAGAACTAGAACTACACTAGAACTAGGGAAACCAGGAGCTTGGAACTAGAACTAGAACTATAACTATGTAGAGTATATGCTTGGAGCTAGAACTAAAACTAGAACTGTACAAACTAAAAATTTGGAACCAGAACTACAACTAAGACTAAGCAAATTAAAGGCTTAGAACTAGAACTAAAACTAGAACTATTTGAAAAGTAAGAACTAGAACAACACTATTATTGCTGTTATTATTATTATGAGAGTGAGAAAGGAATATTATTATTATTATTATTATTATTATTATTATTATTATTATTATTATTATTATTATTATTATTATTATTATTATTATTATTATTATAAACTAACCCAAGTAGGACAAAAGTAGTTTAGGAATAGAAATAGTGTTGGAAAAAAAATTAATGTAATAGTAATTTGTTCATTTTAGTGCATAATAATGTTATGGGGGAAACTGTCAGCCATATTCATTGATCTCCATTTGGTACGTGTGCCCCTAAGACATAAGATTGTGGCTCTC